ATGGTATCACAAATTTCAAATTTCTTTCCATCTGGAATATCTTTCGTTTTCAATGATGGGCGAGTTTTGCAGTGATCTTCTTTCGGCAGTTCACTATTGTGATTTTGTAATACTCCTCTTAATTTGGTTTCACTAATTCCTAGAGCATCGCATACGCGTTTTTGTACAGACATTACCGATTTTAAAGGACCGCCATTTTCTTTTTCATCCGTAAAATACTTATGTACACTACGTCTAGGCATTTTTAAAATTTTTACTAAATTTACGAAATACATACAATGTCAACACTTGCAAAAAATCAATTCAACTGCAATATTTGTAACAAATTTAGTACCTACCCTAATGTTATTTTAATTTAAATCTGACCATTAGGGCAATTTTACCTAATTTCTTGGGAAGAGGCTTATTGGAACTGGTTGTCAATGACTAATTTGCATGATTTTGTTAATCCGAAACCCGCGTAAGTATAGCGAACAGACTGTAGTTCTATGTGCGTATACTGTTCATAAATATAACTCATTTTGGCAGACCTGTTTATTTGTTGTAAAAATGTATATTTGGATTGATATTGAGAGATGTACCTAGACTGAAGTAAACAAAGTTTATTTAGCGCTAAAAATGACTAACTGATATACAGTATGTCCTCCTACGTTGGAATCATGTGTAAAACTTTTTATTATTAATTTTAGGAAAAAAAGTTATTCTTCATAAAAAGTTCTGCTTTATCTAAAACCTAGAATACAGTCATCAAATATCAAATTTTTTCAATGGTATACGAGGTTTGTCAAAAAATATGAGTTTTACTCGAGAGTAAAGTACCTTTAAATTTTTATTGAGAAAATTGCCAAATTCTTCACAAACATCAAGAAAAAGAAAGCGTTTCATGTTTATAGTAGAGAAGAGAGAAAAAATTATGGATTACCGTAATTAGGTGGATCAATGCAAAATCTAGAAAAAAATCTGATTTTTCAGATAGATCGGTGTAATTGCATATTTGAATGTTATTTTCAATTATAATCAACTTTTCATAATGAAAATTTTCGATTTTGTCAAAAATAAACGTTTACTCTTGAGCAAAATTCATATTTTTTAACAAACCTCGTATACGGCTCGAAAAATTTGATATTTGATGACTGTATTCTAGGTTTTAGATAATGCAGAACTTTTTATGAAGAATAACTTATTTTCCTAAAATTAATAATAAAATTTTTTTCCATATGATTCGAACTTGGGGGGCATACTGTATATGCATATCGGGTGCAATAGTTTTTTTTTTGAGAAAATATTGGAAGAGTTTAACTTCACGTTGAAGAAATTGTTGTGACTACCAAAGGGAGGGGATGAAAAAAGTTTTAATGATGGTGCATATTAGTGTATGAGTGCATACCGGGACAATATTTTTTTTGGGAAAATATTGCATGGGGCTAACTGTCCCGAAACAAGTCCATTTTTGATTTAAATTTACTGTTTTTTATAGGGTGAACTACCATTCGTGTGATGACGTCATCACTAATTTTTTCCATTTTCCATATTTAACTTGGAGAGATGAATTCAAAAATGTATGTTACAGGGTAGGCAAAAATATAAAAATACATGATAAATAATTTATTATTAGCTAAAAATTACTATTTTTTAAATAGACATTTTTTTATATAGTGTAAACTACCTTCATGTGAAGACGCCATCAATTTTTTTTAAATTTAACACCCCATTTTTCCACGTAGCATGAAACTAGTTAGTTGCGCAATTGCTGTGATACACTACAGAAAATTTACAATAAATTTTTAAATTGTTCTCCATTGGCCGCAATACATTCGTGTCAAACATTTTGTAGCATTTCTTGCCTTTTACCTCACGGATATTTTGAGGTCTGTTAACCAGACTTTAGATTTTAAATAACTCTATAAACAGACGTCAAATAAAATATATAAATAAATATAAAAATATATTTTCATGCATGTACAAATAAACAGAACTTAATAGTTTAATTAGATTGATGAATTTTTTTAATTACTTTTTGTGACGTTCTTTCCTACTATGTTTTTTTTCTATTTTAAAAAGAAGGTGTAACTTAGTTAACAGCAAGAAGTCTATTAGGAAAGAAAATGAATAACAACTAAAACTAAGTAAGAAGCAATTTTGGAAACAAAGAGTTTGGGACCAAACAAGCATTTTAAAGCTTTATTGCCCTATAACGAAGACAGTTTTGGGCAATTTTTTTATTATATTTAGTTTATATATATATTATATAATATAAATAATAATAACCGTCCCTTTCCCGGACAAGCTCAGCTTTTAGGGTTAAAATTCATTCGTAACGGGGTAAATTAGGGAGGGTACTATTATTTTAAATAGTTACCTGAATTGTTAAAAAAATGTGTATTTAGGACATATTGTTGAAATAACTATTAACATTAGGATATTATTCTAGAAACAACTTTTGTTCCCCATACGGCTTCTTAGGACATTGAGTAGTAGTATTGCACAAGATATAATTAAATAGAACTTAAATAGAATGTTATGTCAATAACTGATTTTTCAACAAAATGGACATAGGGTAGTTTTCTTCTCAACCGACGGTTTTTAGTTAACGTCTAATTTCAGCCACTGATTATTTCAAATTTCAATTGTATGTCAGTAAAACGACTGTGACAGATGGACAAACAGAGAGACACTAAGGTGATTTTCCATAAGTGTTTATTATTGCCAATTTGGGTACTAATGAGAGAAGACGGGAGAAGGCTTTCTCGAACGAGAGAAGCGCCTTCTCTCGCCCTGCGAGACGAGACGAGAGCGGCCTCTCTCTTGTATCATCTCGTCTCGCGTCATCACTACTTCAAAGCATATACAATGAATGTTTAATACAGTTTTTACAGTCAAATAAAAAAAAATAACAAAAAATAGTAAAAAAATACTTTCAAACAATAAAATTTATAGGATATAGTCGAGGGGCTAGGAGCACTATGAAAAGCTGCTAGATATGTTAAAAATATAAAAAGCGTTTTTTAATAGTTTATGAAACTAGTTTTATAACAATACGAAATTTACTTTGTTAATTATGTTTATTGTTTATTTCTTATTTTGCAAGTAATGTTTGGCCGCCCTGTCCCAATTTTAAGCAACATGTGACACAGTTTTGGAATCAGTTTAGCAAGGAACATCCGGAAATTGAAACAAAAAGGAGTGTTCCATTAAAAAAAAAAAATGGTGATGTCATCACACGAAGGTAGTTCACCGTGTATATTAGTTTATTTTGGAACACAGTAATTCAAAATAAAAAATCATGAATTTTTAATAGAATTATTTAGTTTGTTAATAATTAATTTATACACAACTTGTATTTTTGTACACCCTCTACCAAATTTGACGCAACGTATGATACATTTTTAAAATCAGCACAGCAAGAAAAATATGTTTCATTTAAAGATAGTTCACCCAATATATTCAATTATTTTGAAAAACAGTAAATTAAAATCTAAAAACGACCTGTTTCCGAAATCTTTAATAGTATTCTTTATTTAGCTAATAATGAATTTATGATTTACTATATGGATGCACTGTATATTGATCAACCACATCGATACGTAATCGTTTCCAAGAAAATATATTTTTATATACTTCTTCAACTTTACTGGAAAATAATAGCTTATAGATTTATCCTCTGACAATTCCCTAAAAGATGTTTTTAAAGATTACTTTCATTAATTGGCTTTTGGTTCTGTGTGAAAAATGAATATGTTTTGGTGGAAAAAGAATTAATTTTTGTTTACCTTTTCGTGCAACATAATATCTTTCAATACACACTTACATGAAAGATAAATACAGAAACAGGTTAAATTCAAAACCTAATCTTTCAAACATCGAACCAAATTTTGAATTTCTTTGTTCCATTAAACAGGCACATATTTATATCCCATTGAGGGTTTTTGAAGTTCTATATTATTGTATTCATCTTTTAATAAATGTTTTACGATTATGTTTTTCGTTATGAACTCTTATTCAATATGGTAATCTATTAACAACCCAATTTTATTTACTGTTACTAATGACTACACAATTTATACCGGTTTTTAGAAGGGATTTGAAAGGAGTAAAAGTTTGGTAACCGCTATTGTATATAAAATATATATGGCACACATTCTCATTAACTTTTTAATTTATTTTATTTTATTAGTTATAAAGGCAAACTCGTTGAAAATAACCAAAATTCTATTTCATTCTATAATTAACTTTTAAAATAAGTTATTTTCATTGCTATTCGTCACGTGTTAATTACATATTTTTTTCTATACCCACATGGATATTATCTATTCTACAAACATACTACAGAACGAAAAAGTAAGCCATTGCGTTTAAATTAATGAATATAATTTCATATCCATTCTTGTAAGAACACTGAACGGATATAAAATGTATGAAATCCACCAATCACAGTTCATATTTGACTAGTTATTTTTTTTTAAATTTAAATAGGTGACCATTTTGTCAAACTAATTGTCAGTATATTTCAGTTTCAGTTGAAATTAAATATAATTAAAAATATGAGTGATTCTTGGAAATAATCGATAAATAATAACATATCAGAAGATATTCGTGTTTACAAATAAATCGTAAATAATAAAACTAAAATCAATTTAATTATGAGTGTTAGAAATAAAAAATTAGGTGGTTCATTAGCGCCAGAGGTAGAGTATTCATTTGCCATGTGAATTGTACGGGGTTCAAATCCAGGATTTTTCCAGTTTATTATTTTATTTTATAAATTAGTTAAAATCATAAAAAATTATCTTTAAAATAGTTATTTTATCTCAATAACCTCCATAAATTTGTAGATTTTCGTTAGTGGGTCATAAAAAAAATATACTATACTCGTATAACACGAGTGGATTGTCCGTATCGCACTTAGACAATTGAGCACTAGACCTCAGGTGTCGTATTCAAACTTCGTCTTCGTGCGACATGGCCATCATATCCACTATTGTTGCATAAACTATTTTAAGGTGATGTGCTGGCCCGGTCAAGTGGTAATAGCCTGCTCCCAGACCGCTTGGACAGCTGGAGTTGAAAAAGGAATATCAGATAAAAAACTAAGAGAGTATTTCGTCGATGAAATGCTTGTCAATTTGGACTCATTACGAAGTTTAGTCAAGGGAATTTTGACATTTGTGCAAAGAGAAATTTTGTCGGCTCTAATCGTCATTGAAGTACATGCAAGAGACGTGACTAACAAATTAGTTGATTTGAATATATTAAACGTCAACGACTTTGATTGGATCAGTCAACTGAGGTAACAGTTTATTTTGTCTCCATATACTGGCAGAACCAGTTAAGTGCAAAATGTTGAAGATGTTTTTATTATCAATGCGCTAGTTCAGTGTGATGTCATTTTGGTTCCACTGACATTTAATTCTAACCAAACTTTTAACAAAAACATCAATAAATTTTACATATACGTTTTTACTGTTTTAAGTTTATTTTTAATTATTGTTTACAAGTCTTAAAAAATAGTTTAAAGGTATTTAATTTGTAACTAAACGATTGTATATTTGATGCATGTTATCTACTTACTTTAGGAATATATTTATAAAAGTGAAAAAACGATATAATTTAGTTAAACAAAACTGTCACTGTCACTTTAATTGTCAGTGGAACCATAATTACATCATCACTGAACTAGCGCACTAACTGTTTGTATAGGCAAGAAATGTTGTTTTAATATTTATTGGTTGCAGTACAGTATCAACTATAAATATTATCATTAAGTGCATTTTAATGTATTTGGCCTGTATATTTTATCAATAACTACGAGGCAATTCACTTAACTCGTTTTACCAGTGATAATATTCATATTCATAGTTGATTTTTTTTTTGACTATTTTTCACTTAACACATTTTAGCAGTATAGGTACGATTTTATCTCGCTATGTTAGAATCTGCACGATTCATGTATTCCAAATTCGAATGGTAGATACGTGGTTTTCATTTCAAAACAAAATATATTTAAAAATTATTTTAAAATACAAAGATGCATGTAAGTAACGCTAATTCTCTACGAAATTTAACAAAGGGTACCTACCCATACAGCACACATTATTTCGGAAGTGTTTCAGAAATATTTCAAACGTTTCAAACATATAACATTTCAAGCACAAGTTTCTGAAATATTTTAGTTAAATATTTCACTAAAAATGTTTCTAAACATGGTATACATGTTACACAAAAGGTTACTAAATGGGTTATGTTGTAAAAGGCCAATAATTAATGAAGAATTTCTGATTTGTAAGAAGAAGATGGGATATTAGTTTAGGAGCCCACTGCAAAATCTTGGATCGATCACTAGTATGGCTAAATTTTCATGAAAACGTCGGGTAATATATTGAACAATAGTAATCCGTCGGCAGCCGTCCCAATATCGTTTGCGTTTTACGTTATAAAAAATTATTAACAATTGAAAATATGTGCCACCCTCCACCCATCGCTTTTTTGCCAAATTTTCTACTAAATCGATAGATAGTAGTTAAATATAATTTGCTATACCCGGCTGCCGACCATCATCCTTTGCGTTAAGGGTGGCTGATGGGGCCGAAAAGTACTATATCGATGTTGCTTTTATACACTCATCGCTTTTATAGTCAAACAAAATACCGTTGGAAAAGTCGCAAAATTTCCAACAATAAAATACCCGGCTGCCGCGCGAAAGCGTTTGCATAACTTAGGCTGCCGCGATTTTGTGCGCACGCAAGATTTGATCACGTATGAAATCAGCGCTTTAGATAAATTACATGTTAAAATCAAAATGTCATAATTTTGCACTTGCATCATTGTTTTACCGGAACAGCGATATTGTGTTTCTGTTTTTTTTTTTTTTTAATAATCAAACGCATTTACACCGAAAACATAAATTTAGTTAAGAAATCTCACCGGGGGGGGGGGGGGGGGGGGGGGGTTCAAATAGCTCTCGTAATTAATGGACGCCCCCTAACGATGGCCGGGGGCCCTATCCTCGGCTATCGTTTTCTAAAAAACGTATACGCTTTAGCAACATGCGGGATATTTGCTATTCTCGACATTCGTTTTAAAAGCGTGTACGTTTCTAAAACGGGTATTTTACAGCCAGTGGATTTTTCACACGTTTTTGATAAAACGTGCATGTTTTCAAGGATTTAGCTAATGTCACTTTTAGGATGAATAATAATAAAAAAGTCTAATAACTGAGAATTTCTTTCAATTTTTATTAATTATTCAATTAGAAAACTTGGAAGATAAGAATCCTTAAAGATTCAGACACGCAGAGGCAGAATTCATTTTTTGAATTTAAGGAATATTTTTTTATATCTTACCGTGCAAGAATTTAATTATTAATTCATGTCTGTTTTATTTACTGAAATTAATTTGCTTGCGGTTTCTTGCAAGTGGTAGTTCAAAGCTCTTCTGTATCACACGTTGTGATCAGAAATTTTAAAAATTTGGGCACAATATAATAAAAAACTAAATGAGATAAGACAAGTGATTATCTAAATTAATTTTGTACTTTAAAAACTAGGTTTTTTATGACGTACGATTTTCCTAGAATTTTAGGTTGTATTAACTGCACCCGTATAAGTATTTTTCCGCAAAAAAAAACGATTCAAAAACGATTCAGGTTTTCCTGAACATTTATTTATTATGTGATTGGAAAAAATCATAATTCGATAAATTTACAAATGGTTTGTTGTAATTAAATTACATATGCCGCGTTTGAATATCTACATCGGATGCATCTGAAATGTTGTGAATTTTTATCACGTGATAGTGGATTAAATTTAAACGTAGATGTAATAAACAAACGCTCTAGACCTTATTGGTCACGTGACAAAATGACAATGATAAGTTAGAAGTTCATATTTTTTAAATTTGACTTTTGAGACTAAAAATCAACCTAAATTTGAAATCTAAACAAAAATTAAACACACTAATCACTTTTATATTCACGCTATAATAAAAAAGGATAAATTAATCTTGTCTTCACAGAACACCTACTTTCTGGCATGGAACGAACATCTCATTCACATCTCATTTCAAATCGAGATGTAAAAAAATGTAATCTGGACAGCTACATCTGGGATAAACAATCGCAGATGTAGATGTAGTAGATGTTTCCGATGTGGATAAACAAACGCTCGAGATATTAAAAATGTATCGGATGTGGATATTCAAACCCGGCAATAATCCTAATTTTTTTATGGCCTGCACATAACTTGAATTCAACAATAGAGACATTTTACGGTAAAGCCAGACATTATTTGCTTGTTAAAAACGTACACGTTTTAAAAAACAAATGCTCATCGAACGCCAGTCAGGGATATAGATTTCAAAAACTACTCGCTTCTCAACCACACACTTTCGAAAACGGTTCGTTTTTTAGGGATTGTCGAGGATAGCCGCCCTGGTTTTATGTATGCAAAAATGACGGTAACTTCTTGAAATGCAGCGACGAAACTTAAAAAGAAAAACCAGTGTACTAGAATTTCGCAAAGAAAAAAATTTAAATACGGAAATTTGTTGTTGCTAAACCAATATGACGCCGAATATCATTCGAAATGTTTAAAGAAAATAACAACTTTGAACCCAAAATACCGAGATGAACTTAAACTTGAAAATATTAATTTGCAAACAACTGTACGTATTGACTTTTTATGTGATTATAAATCTATCTACTGCATTAAATGCAGATTAAATGAAACAAATAAAAATTAAGTGGTTGTGGAATTGCCCGTAAGAAAATAATTGTATTTCGAAAGAAATAATTATTTATCAACGCGAACGAAATTATCGAGTAATATGCCCACATAGCACACGGACGTCTTATGGACGTCTAAAAGACGTCCTACAGGGACATAAAGGACGTCCAAGGGACGTCCTATTTTGGTACCGGGACGTCAATCGGACGTCCAATGGACGTCCTAATGTCCCGTTTCCGTCCATCTTAGGGACGTCCCTTAGGGACGTAAATGACGTCATAGGGACATCCTAGGGACGTAAATCAGACGTCCGAGGGACGATATTTGACCATAATCCATAAAGGGTAATAATAACAAAAATGTTAACATCAAAAGGGCTTTATTTAACAACTTTTATCTTGAAATAACTAGCTAGAATAAAACGTTTCCAGTTTACAAAAAAAAAAACAGGAATGAATTAAATTAAACATACAGGGCTGGTAAGATGAAACCTTGGGTCCTACTTATAGATTGTGTCAATATAAAATTTATTTTGTTCCAACTTTCCGCCATTAAGGTCTTTTCTCATCGCCAGCGTCTACCGCCAATACACATCACTTATTCTCACCTCAACAAAAAACACTCACTTATAACTTCTTTACCATCAACATAAAAAAAATAACAAATAACACTATATTACCTTTTTTTTTTCTTTAATCTAACTCACTTATATAAGTTATTTAATTCCGAAATTTGTAACTGTTGTTGGTCATTTGAAAATAAATGATAGGTTAGATTTTCTGTCCTCATACTCTTGCAAAAACAAAATGTTGAGTTTCAAGCTATCGATTTAAAGACCAACGATGTTAGTTCATAGAAAGTCCTATAGACGTCCCATGGACGTCCATTAACGTCCTGGACTCGGACCGAAAATTAAACGCTTTGACGAAATGGGACCAAAATAAAACGTCCAGAGGACGTCTGTCAAAGGACGTTCCAGTGTTCACGGTAATCGGAAGTCCACTGGACGTCCTATTTAGGTCCGGGACCAACCGGACCAACAAGGGACCAAATCAGGACGTCCATGGGACGTCCTGTGCTATCTGGGTGACAGCGGTGTCCATTCCGATATCAATTATTCAGAAAGCGATTATTCCGAGGAATTTAGTGTATATTCTTAAACTTATTTTTTCACATTTTGTTAACTTTAACGATGTATAATTTTATAAATTGCAAAAAACTAAACAAAATTAGGACTTCTCTATTTATTTACCTCTCTTGAACATTAATTACTTTCTCTGCTTTAGATATATAGGGACGTTTTAAGCATAACGAAAAATAAAAACAATAAAAAAACAACACATAAACTATATATTTATAAAAACAACAGAATAACAAATATTTAAAGAATACATGAAAGCGAGACGCTCTAGCTTTAATCGTAAACTCGCGTGTTCCAATCAGAGACAATAACAGATGTCAAATAAACGTCAGCTGTGCGCACACTCCCAAACTACTTATCTAAAGCGCGGATTTCATACGTGATCGAATCTTGCGCGCGCACAATATCGCGGCAGCCTAAGTTATGCAAACGCTTTCGCGCGGCAGCCGGGTATTTTGGTGTTGGAAATTTTGCGACTTTTCCAACGGTATTTAGTTTGACTATAAAAGCGATGAGTGTATAAAAGCAACATCGATATAGTACTTTTCAGCCCCATCAGCCACCCTTAACGCAAAGGATGATGGTCGGCAGCCGGGTATAGAAAATTATATTTAATTACTATCTATCGATTAAGTAGAAAATTTGGCAAAAAAGCGATGGGTGGAGGGTGGCACATATTTTCAATCGTTAATAATTTTTTATAACCTAAAACGCAAACGATATTGGGGCGGCTGCCGACAGATTACTATTGTACAATATATTATCCGACGTTTTCATGAAAATTTAGCCATACTAGTGATCGACCCAACATTTTGCAGTGGGCTCCTGAACTATATGTAGTTTTTTTATTTCATCATATGTCCCTGTCCAGTCACCAGCTAGAAACAAGCCTATATTCTAAATAATTATAGATTTAAGTTGTTGGTTTTTGATATTCATGCGTTGTGAACTTGTTATATGTGAAGCAGAATATGTGTTTAGAAATTAAGGGTATCCTCTCACCGATACATAGTTTTTGAGGGGTTTCGGTGCGAGAGACGAGGTATTGACAAAACTCGTTGGAGGAGACAATTTATTTACGGCTGCAATGATATGCAGACCCGGACTCTTGATATACATTTTTATTCTACGAGATTCCAATAGTGGGGAATCACCTTGCGGATTCAAATCCGGAGGGCTCCATTAAATTCGTAATTGCAAAAAAGAGTAAAAAAATATTTTCCGATTATTTTGAATTGTCGTAAAAATCCTATTTTTTGTGTTTAACTCACGATTGTGACGCCATTTTGCAATATTTTTTCAAAATTCTTATACCAGACGAAAGCCTAATCATTGTAGATTTTAACGGTATGTCCAAAAAATTAATACTTTTTATATAGGATTTGTCAGATTATTCAAAAAGAGGTGCAGTACTAAAACTGAGGTGACAGCTTCAGCATCGAGAAAATTTTTAAACGGATGAAGATAGATATATGATAATCGACGAAAAATGTGCCCAAATGAGTGGAAAAGTTTTTAGTGAAAAGAAATTTTCACAAGTGCTAACGGTTTCCGATTTATGATTTTTTTGTGAAACGCCGATGCGCGCTGGCCCCAGCCGCATCTAGTGTGATAAGTGTGTTACAAAAACTGGGATCTTATAGTTTTGTAGTTATTAGGTAAAATCTTACTTATGTTATATATTTTAAAGCTTAAAAATTGTTATCTTTTAGTGATTGCATACGTGATGTAAGTAGTAATACAATTTTCGGATGAATATGAGGGGATAGCCTGGCTTTAGTGCACCTCGACGTATGCACATCGTGTATAATGTTCTAAACAATGGATGTGAAAATCATAAGTAACTAATTGAATTATAAAGAATTTGCTTCCGCTTCTGTAATTTTATCTCCAGTATTCATGGTATTGTTTAGCTTTAATAATTTTTTATATGTAATTACTTTATAATAAAGACTTTATTATTATCTCTGTAATATTATTTCTTATAAGCCCCATAGAGCAGCCTTCTATTAGGAATAGGCAAAACTAACGTCATAGTAACGTTACAAATTGACAAATGACGTGAGAATAACGTCACTGAGCCGTAACATGATGACGTGTGCTGGAAGTCATTTTGACGTTACATTTTTGGTGGAAAATGAAGTAACGGTTGACCAATACATGACGTCGCTGTAACGTTAGTGTGCTACCTGGAATATGGTGTTACAGTTGACATTTTTTTTATTGACAAATAGAAAATATTAATTTATTTCCAACGACTTGTAGTGTTCGTTAAAGTTAATTAGATTTGAAAAAAGTTTTGTCGTATATTGTGTTTTAATTATTTTGTGCTAGTTTAAAATGGAAAATAAGAACCAGAACAGCATTATTACTAGGTTGTAAGTTTAACCAAATTCTAATTTTATAATTCAATATGCCCTTCTCTGTTATTAACTTTCAATAATAATAATGTGTATTATTGTATTATTTAAAATTAAAGAAGGTTTATTTTTATTTGTTTTCTTTTCGCAAATTGGTGACATAATGAATTTTCAGAAACCAGTTTCATAATGTTTAATATTATACAACTGGTAAGTAGATCATTTTGACACCTGCTGCGATTTCAAAAAAAGGCACTTCATAAGTCAAAATTAAAAAAAAAATTGAGACTTGCCATATTAAAAAAGTAAATGCAAAATATAATTATAAACTCTTGACACTTCCCAATCAAAATGAACGACTAAAGTACATTTGAACAGATCTTAAATCTGGCAACATTGTATTAAAGACATCCAATGAAATAAGTTCCAAGTTTAAAAAGCAATTAACTTTTAATTGATTATTTCTTGGAAGATAAAAATTTGAGTAATGAATAAAAATGTCTTTTAAAAATACATTTATTTCTTTATAACAAATTTATAAGGAAATTCGTGCCCGTGGGAATAGTCTATTGAAAAAGTAAACAGTTACTTAAATTCAAATTAAATTCATTTCTTTAGGAGCCGTTACTTTTTTTAGATATTACTGGGTTAATAACGAGCACGAGATAAAAATTTGGGTAATGAATAAAAATGTCTTTTAAAAATACATTTATTTCTTTATAACAAATTTATAAGGAAATTCGTGCCCGTGGGAATAGTCTATTGAAAAAGTAAACAGTTACTTAAATTCAAATTAAATTCATTTCTTTAGGAGCCGTTACTTTTTTTAGATATTACTGGGTTAATAACGAGCACATGAAAGTTAGAGCTGTAAACGCTGAATTTCAGTATGGATATGAATATTTGGGTAACAGCGGACGCCTGGTGATAACACCTTTGACTGACAGATGTTACTTGACATTAACTGGAGCACTTCATCTTAAATTCGGTGGAGCTCCGGCTGGACCAGCAGGTATTATTAATTTATTATCGATTAGATTTAAATTTACTGAGGGTTAAACTATTAATGTTGTAGTAAAGTAAAGGTTATCTTCCTGTTAGATCAAAAAATTGCAATTTTAGATCTTCTGTTAAAAGAAGAACTTAATTTATTGACACTTATTTTACAATATTTTAAGAACTATGTATAAAGATTAAGATACATCTGGACTTTCAGTCATATTTGTACATTTGATTATTTAAAAAAGATTTAAGAAATGCACCGTGCTAACTAATAAGCTGCAAAATGTACTAGATTCAAGCTTTTGATCAAAAAAGAAAACCATTTTTAATCAGTTACCGCGAATTTCGAAACGTCGGCCGGGCGCTCCTTTCTACGACTTATACCATAAGAGCTACGCTCGTCCCATGATACAACAAAACAGAGGTATGATACAGCCGACGAAATTTCGTCGAGTTCGCGCATGACGTATTGTGGTGTGGAATATCTGATTGGCCATGAGCCGAATAAAATTTATTTTCGCGCTTTGTTTTCGATCAGCTGATACGTCAAATTCGTAAAAGCCACGCCTTACATTACGTCACCGTGACGTATATTATCAATCTGCGTAATATCATACCTTCTTTTTACAGTATCATGGGCTCGTCCCACCAAAGGTCTTGTCACATCTCACTGGCTTCACCCGCTGTCCTCTGTTGTGGGACGATCGTAACTTGCTGTTATGTTGTAGATGGGAAAATGGCGCGTTTGGCTGACGCATGACGTTAAGAAAATCTACATTCTTCTTTTTAATATTTTCATAACTATAGCGTAAAGCTTAATTTCAAGTGCCTTGAATTGTTATCTGATTTATAAGTCAAACTTTCATAGATTTACATAAATTTTCAATAAGTTAAAGAACTACCCTTAGAAATGGAGATCAACTATATAGTGAAACAGGAAGATTTGTGAACAACATACAACACAGGCGGCGTATGATAATACCCGAGAATACCGATCAAGGAGAAGCGACAGTAGCTGTCGGTGCCTTTGATATCGGATGGACCTTTTTCACAGCATGACTTTGATTGATACACAACTTAGCACGCTGAGAAAACATGCTTATTTTCTACACTGAGCGAAATAGTTTGGCAAATTATCTGAAATCATTGCTATAGTCCATGCGCAAATGTTGTAATGTGATTTAATTACATTGAAGTAGTTAGGGTTAATAGCAATTAATAATCATAATATTTACTGTTCGTAGTCCTTTGAAAAAGTAAATAAACTTAATCCTTGGCCTGTTTTGGACGAACAAGAACGGTATGCACAAAAATATCCAGATACAGACATTCTATTACAACATAAAGAAACACCAAAAAATATCACTCAACAGCTCACAGACTAAACACAACTTGGACTGACTTTGACAGATTATATGATTTTGAGTGATACACAACTTAGTTTCGCACATGCGCGTATCAAAACGGTACCCTGAAAACACCAAGCTGTCGCTTCTCCATGATCGGTATTCTCGGATAATACCCAGTGTTGTCCCAAGAATAAAAGGTAACAACTACCCTCAAAAAGTTAGAGAACTCATCGTAGAAAAAAGAAAAGTCAAAAGAATTTGATTCTAGGGTCTAGAGCTCCAGTGAACAAAACTAGAATTAATATTCAGCAATTTAAAAGAGAGATACAAATTTATCTAACAGTGAATTTCTTAGTGAACTGACAAATGATATCAAACCGAGAATTCAATGTGAAAAGCCACTTAAATACTGAAAAGTTAAAATCTGTAAAATACACAAATCCAGAACACATCTTGAAAGGATATTTCAAGTAAATGAAAACGTTAAAATATTTTCATGGGAAAATATGAACCTGAAAAAAGTACCACGATTTAATCTAACTGCTGACGAGATAGTAAAACAACTCCATAGGAAAGCTATAGTTAATGTATACTTCATAGTATAAGTAAGTACCTAAAGATATGGAAGGTGGCCGAAGTAATAATGATACCTAAACCAGATAAACCACCAAATGAAGTTTCATCTTAGAGATCAATCTCTTTACTTCCTGTATTTCGAAACTTAACAATTATTCTCAAAGAGATGCTATTATAACCCACTATAGAAGAAAAAAAAATTATTCTAACACATCAGTCTGGATTTAGAAAGAAACCTTAGACGCAATTATTGAAATCATGCACTGGAAGAAAATTTAGAACAAAGAAGTTTACTCGGAACTAAAAAAAAAAAAACAAGAAAAAACAAGAAGTGGAATAAGAACAATCTACAGTAACAAAAGACAAGCTATCATATATACGGATAGCGTAGTGTTTATAACTAGAAAGAGCTTAAAAAGATGTTGCTTCTGTTTGGAACAAGAAACAAAAACAGTACGGGTTAGGTATTAAAAAACAAAACCAAATATATAGACATGGGTAATGATTACGGAAGTTATTGAATCCAGCTGGAAATTACATCCTAGCAGAACAAAGAGAACTGTTTTGAAAGAATGCAAGAATTCAAATATCTGCAAGTAACAGTAACAAACAGGGGAGATGAAATAAAAGAATTGGATAAGAAGATTGAGAGATAAATTAAAACAGTTGCAGCCTAAGAAATCTAGTGCGATCTAAAGACATTTCTCGGTTAGCAATGGTGAGAATCTATAAAATAGTCATATAACTCTCGGTATTATGGTAGTAGTAAATGTTGGATAATGCATAAAAGGGAAGAAGAACAATTAAACGTATGGGAGTGGAGCGTGTTGAGAAAAATGTTCGGAGTAGTAAGAGTGGAGCGGCATGAGTGAAGAAGAAGAACGAATGCGGAGATAAAAACATTATATGTCCAGTCACATATTGGATATATGGTTAGAGCAAAATTATGTTAGCTGGACCATTTAGGCAGAATAGGGGAAAATAGGTGGATGAAAGAAGTATTGATAAGAGGAGAAAAGAAGAAAAGGACGTCTAAGATCAAAATGGATAGACGCATGCAAAGACGACAGAATTTAAGAATAGTGAACTGCTGTATGGCAGCAAGTAGCCATGGAACAAAAAGAAATGAAGAAAATTTGAAAAAAACTCTAAACCATAGGCATATAAGGCCTTTTGTGCAACAAATAAAAGCAGAAGTGCCTTATGAAAGTATATTCGGACTTGTCCTGTATTTACTATATACCAGTGAAATCCCAAAACTAAAAAATAATGCAATAGTCACCTTTAGAGATGACACTGCCATTCTGGCAATTAGAGAAGACCATGAAGATGCGCCTTAAAAATTGCAGAACTCTCGTAATAAAATTAGCGATTGGAGAGAACGTTGCCGAATTAACCTAAATGAAACTAAATATGGATACTTATATAAATGTTACAAATATAAGAAATTGAAGGTCTAAACAATAACCAAATATCATAATATGCTAATAGCAACAAAATATTTTAGGACTCAAGGCTGCGTTGGAGAGTTTACGTAAAAAAGAACTCAAAATAAAATACAAGAAAATGTATTGGCTGATCGGAAGGGATTCTGACTTGACAAATTACACTAAATTACTTTTGTATAAGCAGAGTAATCAACTCTTGGGTACCAGCAAGAGTAACATTCAAATAATATAGCAGTTCCAGAATAAAGAACTGAGGAACATAGTGAAGGCACCTTGGTAGTTTAGAAACCGTGACCATCACAGATACCTGGAAATAGTGTTAGTGTTAAGCAAAGTAAAGTGCAGCAGATACATACATTATTAATCTTAGGGATTTTTCAAAAGTAGTAATCATGGAACTTACTGAAAGAAGGGGACAGCTCCATTTTTATTAACGTTGGGAAATAGAAAATATTTTATAAAAATTGTCACTTGTTTTAACAAAAATAAAACCTTCAAATAAAAAGGTGACTTTTCTTGGTGATATATCTTTGTTTCAAAGAAAAAAAGAAGGAAACAAATGGAGCTGCTTCCCTCTTGTACCAAAGTTAAACAAAAGAAGGTACTTTTAGCACTTATTATAAAGTAACAGAGTAAAATATGTTTGAAGTTTATTATCAAAGCTGCCTGATTCTCACACCAATCGATTATGCTTAACTTTTTACGTAGAGTACGTAAAATAAAATTGTATTACAAGTTGCTCCCTTCTTGCAGCAAGTTCCTCAATTTCAGTTAGAATAAAATTATTCATTGATCATATTTATATGATCGGATTGTAATTATAGTTAAATGTACCTACCGAGCGTTTTCTAATCATAAAAAAGATAAATCTTCTCTAAAGCCTGTGGTTCTGTAACGTTATTTATTTTATCTACAACCACCACAGTAAATCGTATATTATGTATCGTTTTGTTTATAAGTAAATACATCATTACAGATACTGTTACGTAATGAAATCCCAAAACTGTTACCTAATTATATATATTACATAACAGTTTCATTTATCAAACTATCCATATTACTCCGTTGCTAGGTGATCGCCATAGTTATAAACAGTTCTGACATTTCAGAAATAGAAAGATCGCCATTGTTGTAGTTACAAAATTATTTTTTTTTAAGAATAAAATGAGTTTGTCAGATACCTAGTAAAAATTAATTTCAAGGCAATCCAACTGATATTCTTGAAAAAGCTGCTAATATTACTAACAAGTTACATCCTTTAAAATCAAGGGGAAGGTATGAAATAGTATACCAATAGCTTATGGACTGACGTATAAAAAACAATGTAAACTAATACTTTGAGAATGTGCTTTTGGCATATTTTGAGGAACTTATGGAACAATTCAAACCTGCATCATTTTACGCAATGTATTCTATGTCAAGAATCCTCATTTCCATATAAAATAAAGTGAATTTTGAAACGTACCCAAAATTAAAAGCAGTCAGACAGTTTTTAAAAGCAGAAATTGTTTTGACGAAATAAGTAAATATTTAAATGAAGCTATTGATTTACAATAATATTAACAAAGGTTGGTATTTGAAACAATTTTTCTTCAGTCAATTTAGTAGTTGCATTTGTAATATTTTTAATTAGATGTATTTAATAAATGTTAAAGATAACGAAAACCTTCTCGTTATTAAGAATATATGATTGTGGTTGTAGATAAAGTATATTACATTACTCGGATTGTAAGAGCAATTACATGCTCGTAGAATTACTCTGTAATTAGCTTCTTACTACTCTTGTTATGTAATATACTATTTCTGAATCGTTTAACATTAAAATGAATTTATAAAGATAATAATATAAATTATTTCATTTTATTGCATTCTTTAGGAACTGGTAAGACTGAGACGACCAAAGATTTGGGCAAGGCCATGGCTATTCAATGCGTCGTCTTCAACTGCTCCGATCAACTTGACTTCATGGCTATGGGAAAGTTCTTTAAAGGGTTAGCCAGTTCAGGTGCATGGGCATGTTTCGATGAATTCAACAGAATTGATATTGAAGTATTGTCTGTGGTAAATATTTACATTTTTCGACTTTAGCCAAACCAATTTTTTTAGACTAGTCAAACATTGTACCAAAAAATAAATAAATTTAAAAGGTTTTTCATTTTACCATTGTGGTATAATTCGTAAAGGAAAATGAAAACCACAAATTATATTTGTATTGGCAACTGTTGAAAGAATTTAACATTGTGCTTTTTCCCGATTATCTTAAAGCAATAACATAATTACGTCAACCTATCTCATCAGCAGTGGAACTAGCCTTTAAAACCAATATGCTAAATTAGTGATGACGTAATTTTGGTCCCATTGACAATAATTACCTATAGTGAAAATATTTTTTTTAATTGCGTTTTTTCGTTTTGTTTACCTAATTTAATTTAATTTTACCATCAAGTATATAATCATTTAATAATTAATTAGATACCTTTAAACTACTTTTTATGACCTGTAAACAATATTTAATAAAATAATTAAAACTGTAAAAACGTATATGTCAAATATTGTTTAGTTAGGACTAATGCGCTAGTTCAGTGTGATGTCATTTTGGTTCCACTGACATTTAATTCTAACCAAACTTTTAACAAAAACATCAATAAATTTGACATATACGTTTTTACTGTGTTTAGTTTATTTCTAAATATTATTAACAAGTCATAAAAAATAGTTTAAAGGTATGTAATTGGTAACTAAGCGATTGTATATTAATGCATGCTATCTACTTACTTTAGGAATATATTTATATTAAGTGAAAGAACGATATAATTTAGGTAAACAAAACGAGCTCAAAAAAATCTACTGTCACTTTAATTGTCAGTGGAACCATAATTACATCATCACTGAACTAGCGCATTGTCAGTGAAACCAAAATAACGTCACACTTTTATGACGTGATAATCTCACGTGAGTCCCGATCCGCCGATGATTGGTCAAAACTAACGAACGAATATAGTGACGTAAATCGACGCTATCAGCCATTTCCATTCTCCGTATTCAAACCAGAACTCGTTCTCACCTCACCATTTGTACTGAAGCTAGAAGCTTACTAATGAGGGGTGATATTTTAATAATTACCAGATCGCGTTTCTGTAACGTGAGGCAAAGGCGGCTCCAGGCCCCGAGAAGAAAATTCTTACGATTTATGAGCCTTTTACTCAAAAAAATATGCTAAAAAGGGAACATCTAAAGGCAATATATAAAGGCAATGCCCCTCCCCCCTCCCCCACCGAAAATTGGTCTTGGAGCCGCCCTTGACGTGAGGTCTATCGAACGACCTGTCAAAATCTTTTTTAATTTTAAAATGTTAATGACATTATTAAACATTTTATTTTTTTCGAAAAACAGATGGTTCTTAAGCATGTTGAGTGGTGCCCCTCTGACAAGAAAAAAATTGTCTTGTCTGGATACCGATATTTGCCACAGAAGCCTATTTTCATTCCGAATTTTTTAATGTAAGAAACTCACTCCTTCCTTCTCGGCGAACAGGGTGCAAAAACAAGTTTTTTTTTTTGGAAAAAGTCAAAAATTGTTACACTCTTCATAGGAAAGTATAATTATCGTCCAAAATTTGAATTGTGGAAATGGACATTAAAAAAATATATTCTTTGGAGGTTTCGTTTACTGAAGAGTATCTATTATTTAATAAATTGGTTTTTGTTACATTTCTTAACAATCTCCCACACGGCGGTTCATCTCATAATTGTAATAAAATGATCTACTTACATGATGTTTTTGTAAAGGTACCTACCTATCAAAATTTCACTTTGTAATTCCTTAATTACTTATAAATAGTAATCTTGCAAAATTATTAAACGGTTAAACGAATAAAATACAATTTAAATGTAACATATTTAACAAAAATTTGTCTTACATGAAAAGCTAGGTTAGACTCTCAAATTACAATTTACAAATTAATTAAAATCATACATTTTTGGTCACCTCGTAAAATCATGAATCTAGAAAAGATTTAGTACAAGCTTAATAATAATTTTAGTCATTGAAAATGTTTACATTCAAATAATTGAGCTCTTTCAAAAGTGCCCACCATAATGTGCTTAAATCTATATATTTCGTTGAAGTTCCGTCACGATTTAGGGGACCCCAAAACGTAAAAATCCGTCGAAAACTCGAGGTCGAAAAAAATCATTATTCCTATAACAAATATTATTTTAAATTGCCATGGCTACTAGGGTTGCCACCTGTCCTTTTTTCAAACAAAATGCCCTTGCGACTGTTTAAAGCTTAAAATGTCATTTTTTACGGCATAGGTCCTGTTATATCTTTGAAAGGGACCTGGCTTGTACAGACATATACAAGCTGAGAAGCTTTTTCTTTAGAAGCTCGGAGTTAGACACTCGTCGACCTTTTTTTTTTTGAAGTTCAGAAGAAGGATGAGGACCTTTTGTATACCGGATACCCTATCAGCATTAATGTCCTTTATTCACTTTTCAAAAAGGTGGCAACCCTAATGGCTATAGCCTAATACTGTCACTTTAATACATTTCTATTTTTGAAATAAAAGATGTTTGACATTTATATCAGATATTACAGAAAAATTGATAATGCAGTTCGACAATATGCTAGGAAATATCCTGAAAGAACTATGCCATCAAGGAAAACCTTTTACTCAATTTACAGAAATGTTACGGAAGTTGGATGTGTTTTAGAAAAGCGAGAGAAATATCGTATGGGAAATACAATCAATGAGATCAAAGTATTGGCATTAATAAACATCAATCCTGAATTTTCTACAAATTTTATTGCGAAAGAGTCAAACAGCTATTCAGAAAATTCTTAAAAAATACAAATATCATGATGCATGCATGCATAGAAAATAGGAGGGGATATTTTGAACAAAATTTATAAATCAAATTTTTGTTTTAATTATCGTTAAGATCGGTTTCAGATTTAATTTAGGTTGTTCAGTTTATAATTTTTATATACCAGGTCTTCAACAATACCCGAAACCCACGTGATCTGATAACCATCAAAAACCCATCGAAAGGGCCTGATTTGACGTAAAAGGAACTAAACTGAACTGTCAATCCTGTCAGAAATGTCACTGGCGTTCATTTGGGGACTGACAATATTTATATTATATTTGTTTACATTTTATAAACACCCTTAGTCCATTTTTCATTTAATATTAATAAAGCAATTAGTTATTTTTAGAGAATATTGGTGGCTTCTTTTTTGTTGGTAAGTACAAATTTATTTACTGTAACTCGTAAAAGTTAATGACTATATAATTTATTGTAGGTAATGTTATACTGGAACAAAATTATTCGAAAATTTGAGGAACGTTTTCCAGGTGAATAAATGGAATGTGATTCTTTTTTGTCGTCATAAACAAATACTTGTTCAAAAAAGGAAAAAGGTCTAAAATGCCCAAAGTAATAACAAAAGCTGTTGAAGATGTGCAAATTAACATGTTGTAAATTCCCAATAAATTAGTAAAAAAAAACAGCACCTCAAACAGGTATGAACGGTGTTTTAAAGACTGACTCTGGCGAGTGAAATTCAAAACATATTTTTTTTTAGGTTCATCACTACGAACTGGCCATAAAGTTAAAAAACATTCTGATAATGCATCCCCTATAAAGTTTCGATACTGCAACAATCATTTTACCTTTATTTTGTTAAAACTACATATGGAATATTACAGATCGCTCAATTCAAAATCGTTTGTGACGTTTATGAATTGGAGCACCTATATTGAATGATATACAAAATATAACTGAGGAGAAACTGCATAATGTGTTCAAAAAAGAAGGTTTAATGCTTGCATTAAAGCTGGTGATTAAGATTGGTACTGTGAATTAGTATGAATTAGTTTGTGCACCACCGATTACTACTCAATATCCTTTTAAATAAAATAGTTGTTAATAGATATGCCTTTATAATTTGAAGTGAGAAGTAAGAGCTGTAAGGTGAAACAAATATGTGCTTGTTATATTAATAATATTAATATTTTTTTGTATGCATATAAGTAACAATGTATTTTGTAAATCCTGTAACAAATAAATAATAGAACAAACTTAAATTATGTGTTTATTACTTCCCATTATCCAGGCTCAATTCCAGTAATTCTTAAATTTGTTTACTTTAATTGCAATAATTGCCAAATACTGCCATTGTCTTCTGCCTATCGTATTTAGAGTTTCAGCTGTAGCTAAATATCTTAGGACCGATTCCACCGTTGTGTTAAACGAAGTTTAAAATGACATTTTTACATTAACAATGTCATTTTAATCTCCGTTTAACACAACGGTGGAATCAGCCCTTAAAGAGTAAATCTAAAGTAAATAATTTTTAATTTTATTCATATTTTAATGCATAACATTTTTATCCATAACTTTTTTGTGCCCTGTTCTGGTAAAGGTTTTTTTTTGTAGTAGTGACAATAACTAGTACGAACCATATTTCAGTTTATTATTCTTTTGGTTAAATACAAACTAGATATAAACAGCTCAGTTTTTAAGGTTATGTTATTTATATCATAATTTTAAAAATTAGATTATTGAATTTGATTAAATCTAATTAAAATATCGAATACTAACATTAAAATACAATAATGTAAAGCACCTCTAATTAATATTATGAATTTGTGTTGTAATTCTAACAGTTACCTAACTGAATTTTGTTCTCGTAGTTGCAGACCATAAAAAAAGAAGATCTATTTTCTATTTGTAATAAAATACCTACGGCACTTTTTTTTTTTACTTTTATTTTCACCAATCGCTGTCATGACGATTTGGTCACGTGGGTTTTCGGTATTGTTGAAGACCCAGTATATATATATATATATATATATATATATATATATATATATATATATATATATATATATATATATATATATATATATATATATATATCTAGCTACGTGGCATTACTGGGACTCCATTCCATAAATGGCCTACCAAAACTCCACCGTATATACGCCATTATATACACCGTTATTTGTAAAGACTAATTCAACTACCATTAGTTGGATAGGTCAACGTAACGTC